TGCCCCTAACTTTAACTCTAACCCCTGAATCATAATCCTAACTAATCCTAACCTAATTCTAAAAATAAACTACCCCAAGCCATAAATTAACCCTAAACTTAACCCTAACAGGAATCATAACACTATCTGTAATCCTAAACATATACTGACACTAATGCTAACACCTTGCCCTAACCCTAAAATTGATACAGCAACTCTAAACCTATCACTACACTCATAACCTGAACACTAAGAATGACTCTAAGCCTAGACTGAATACTAATGTAAATATAATGTTAATCCTATCATAAATATAACAATTAGCAATACTTTATCACTAACCCTAAACCAACCCTAAACATATGCAAAGCTTTTTCTAAACCTAACCCTAGTCCCCTCTGAGCACTATTCCCAATACTAACCCTAAACTGACATTACCACTAAGACTTCACCCTAACCCAAAACCTAAGTTCTAAACCTATCCCTACTCAACTCTAAACCTACTCAAGTTCTAAACCTATCCCTACTCAACTTTAACTCCCTACTCTAGCCTTAACCCTAAATAGAATGCTCACAAACCCTAACCCCAACACTAAACTAACACTTGAACCTAAACCTAAACTTTATCCTAAACATAATCCTCAGTTAAACTCTAACACTAGCACTACACCTAAACTTAACCCAAAATAGAAAATAACACTAACACCTAAATATAACCTTATCCCTAATATTAAATTCAACAAACACCAACTACAAACTATTTTAACCTTTCACAAACCTTAAGATCAATACTTAAACTAACATGTACCCTATTACTACTAACTCTAAAACTAATCCTAACTTCAAATCTATATTTAAGATTACCAATAAACCTAAAACTACTCTAACCTTAAACCTAAATTATAATCTAAACTAATATGGAACTAACCTCAGCCATAATATTAATACTTACTTTAGTACTAATACTAAATCCTAAATTTCACACATACACTAACCTTGAACCCTAATTCCCATAATCTTAACCCTGACAATAAACCTAAGCCTAAATAATAATCATAAACTATTTATAACACCAATGAAACCCAACAACATATACCTATTCCCTAGCCTTAATCTTCCCCTAACCTTAAACTGACACTAACATTTTTTTTTGTTATTTTATTTACAACAGTTTATTTTTACATCATTTTGTACATTTTTTTTCCATCTCAATTGTAATCCCCACGGGTTTCACATCACCAAGTCACCCGTGTGCCATCACCATAATCCCGTGCACTTTCTTCCCCACCCCCCCATTTTTGATC